GCGCCCCAACTCCCCAATCGGCCCTGCTCTGAGCCCGACCAGGGGCTGCACCTAGGGATTGGGCCTGCCCTCTGCCACCCAGGAGCAGGCCTAAGCCAGCAGGTCGTTATCTCCCGAGGGGTCCAAGACTGCAAGAGGGCACAGGCCAGGCTGAGGGACCCCCCCCCCCCCGTGCACAAATTTTTGTGCACCGGGCCTCTAGTATAATAATAAAAGGCTAATATGCACATTGACTGAATGGCAGAATGACCGGTTGCTATGATGCGCACTGGCCACCAGGGGGCAGACGCTCAATGCAGGAGCTGCCCCCTGGTGGTCAGTGCACTTCCATATGGGGAGTGCCACTCAGCCAGAAGCTGGCTCATGGCTGGCCAGCGCAGTGGTGGTGGCAGGAGCCTCTCCCACCTCCGTGGCAACACTAAGAATGTCCAACTAACGGTTTAGATACAATCCCTTGGGGGCCTAAGCCTTTAGTCGGACATCCCCTGAGGGCTCCCTGGCTGCCCGAAGGATGTCTGACTGCAAGCTTAGGCCTGATCCCCTGGGGAGTGGGCCTAAGTCGACAGGTGGACATCCCCCAAGGGGTCCTGGACTGTGAATGGGCGCAGGCCGGGCTGATGGACCACCCCCCCAGTGCACAAATTTTTGTGCACCAGGCCTCTAGTAGTTAATAAAAACCAATAAGAATGTGCACTATTCAAATATATGTACATGTAACAACAGTAAGCTCAACAAAGTAAGCCAAAGAATAGTCACAGCATTTATGAATGCTAATAAAGATTATAAATCAAAAGTCAGAGCTATATAAGTAGATTTTCATGTTCATTGAACTTTTGTTCCTCTGCCACTAAACTGAACATAAAATATTTTGCAAGGAGAAATGACCAAATCCTCAGGGTTCTTTTGACTGTCTCTCTATATACAGTGAGCTAAATTCAGGGTATGAACTTTACAGTACATATAAAGACTACTAGAGGCCTGGTGCACGAAATTCGTGCATGCGGGGGGGGTCCCCTCAGCCCAGCCTGCCCCCTCTCCAATCTGGGACCCCTCAGGGGATGTCTGACTGCCGGTTTAGGCCCGATCCCAGAGATCGAGCCTAAACCGGCAGTCGGACATCCCTCTCACAATCTGGGACCGCTGGCTCCTATCTGCTCATCTGCCTGCCTGATCGCCCCTACCTGCCCCCCCCCCCGCCAGCCTGATCACCCCTAACCACCTCTGCCTGCCAGCCTGATCGCCCCGAGATGGCCCCCCCCCGCCGGCATGATCACCCATTACTGCCCCCACAGCCGGCCTGATCACCCCCAACTGCCCCCCACCTCTGCCAGCCTGGTCCCCCTAACTGGCCCACCACCAGCCTGGTC